ATTATCTATTAAAAATATGACTGGGGTTGATAATTTCCTGTTCACTAGCCATAAGTAACCCTATTGCTACGAGTTTTCCTATGGTCAGGGGTCAAAGGGTGTGTGATCACATTTGTAAAATTACATTCAAATTTTATTGAACTACTATTTTATGAATGTATGTGAATAAGTTTGGTATGAAATTGTAGATTATAATTTAGTATTATACATTAGTCAATTTCTTAATTTAAAAGTAAATAATAAAACAAAATTTCCTAGATATTGATTTTTGTGTGCTATCTTGAATGTAGCTTTGGCTCAAATTAGATGTTTGTGATGTCCAAATACAAAGTCTATAGTTTCCTACACATTACAAACTCAAATTACCAATATTGTCAAGCTATCTTTTCTATTTACTGAGATTCTACTATATTTAGCAAATCAAACACAGTGGCTCCATCCACCCACTTCACTCTATTGTGTGGTTATAACCAATCAAAATCTCAGAATTTCCTTCCTTCATGTGGTTTTCTCAGCCTATTCAAATGATCTATTTCCCAAGTTTATTCTTTCGTTAACAATCTTGGAAAGAAAGGGTAAGAGAAAATGGAGTTCAAAAAACATTTTTTTAGATCCAAATACAGTTTAGCTAAATTACAGAAGAATTTTGAAATGTATTCTAAATTTCATGTTTCAAATACAGCACTGTGCTGATAACAAGGACAGGAAGTACCAACATTTCCAATGTGTTTGATAGCATTTCTCTAACAAATTTATATCTGCACATGTATAACATTAATAGTGTAAACATAACATCTATAATAAAATGATAAATATATGTTAACTACTGTGGGTTCATACTATCTCTATTCCACTGCTAATTAGTACTTGAAAAATTACCCAGCTTTAATACATTATAAGAATGATACTAGATTATAATAATCTTAACTATAAAGGATGCCCAAGTTGTCAAACAATCCATTCTATAAGTATATGTAATTTTCAAAATATTCAAAAGCTACTCTTCTTAAAGCACTGACTACTACCTAATGAAATAAAAAATAAATATACAAACCTGTCTGTAGTTTCGTCGGTCAAGTGCCATCCTGTGATTCCAGAAGTGCTTGAAGAAATGTGGTAAAACTTCTTCTTTAATATACTGTGGTTCCACACCATCTGTACCACAACACTGCTTCACCACCTACAAATAAAAAAATGAAAGAGTCAAAATATTGACTCTGTATGTTACACCAAGTTTTGAATATGAAAATGCCTAAAACTGCCAACAAAATTATTTGATGTATCTAAAACTGTTTGATAAGGATAACATCAACTTTCTCTAAAAAACAGTAGTGAGCATGTACACTGACAAACTTCTATATTATTATTACGTATTATATATCTGTACTAATAAAATGCCTTTTAAAATTAAGTGTAAGCAAAATAATAATAAACACAAGACATTCTGAAAATTTTTCCTTTATTTTGTCAATGCATAGGAGACAAACCTTTTCTTATATCATTACAAAGATCTTGTATTCTTCTTCTTGTGTTAGTCTTTTAAGTATTTTTGTCAGAATTTAAAATATATATTATTTTTTAATTTGTC